CAGCCCCAGCCTGAAGCAGCTGGAGCCCTCTCCACCTCCCCGCAGGCAGCTGGCACTTCGTGGGAAGAGCGCGAGCTGAAGAATCAGCGCTTACAGGCTCCGCCACGCTTTGCTCTCCCATAGGAGCCCTGCGTTGGAAGGAACAGGAGGGCCACCACCACAACACTCACTGTTACTGCCTGTACAAACCCACTGCCGGGACTCGCCGCACGCCACAGGGCTCCCATCAAAGAGCAGCACCCACCGTCCCCGGAGCTGCTCAAGGCTGCCTGCAGGCTCAGAACACAACAGGTTCTAGACAAGTTTGGGAAACTCCTTTCTCAAGTCGTAAAAGCTACAGGGTTTTCAGCGAGGCAGCTGCCACGCTCCACTCTGGCCCAATGAGCAACAGAGACAAATGAGCCTCCGGTCTGCAGCCTATGCCAGTTCAGTTGGGCAGCAAGACCAGTGCACCCGGCTGGCTGACCCACCAGGGAGAAGCTGGGAGGAGAAGCCAATACAACGTCCTCGCACACTCGGTACATCTGTGGTCACTGCATCACAGGTGACATCCTGGGTCCCCAGTACAAGCGCCCAAGAGGTCTGTGCTCCATGAGGACTTCCCAGAAACACCTGAGCCCGTTGTAGGGTCCTTCCCAGCCTGTCCTGCAAAACCAATCCGCAGAGTTGGAGACTTACGTGCCATCCAGAGGATCTTCCAGAAAGTGCCATTTCCAGCAGACCTCTCTCCTACAAATCCTGTGGTTTAACTACCAGAGGACAGATGAGGAGGAAATACAGAATTTAGTGGGTAAAAGTAGTTAAAAAAACAGGGAAAGGAACCGAGCGGAGCTGGGGCTATTTAGTTAGCAATGGTGGCACCACAAAGCTGTTGGTTTAGGCACAGACCAAACACGTCACACTTGACGCCCCGGTTCCAGGCTGCTTTGGCAAGTGGAGAAACTCCCCACAGATGAGCTACGCTCCAGCTACAACCTTCCTGACTGTGTCAACACCACAAGGGCCAGCACCAACACTGCAGCCGCTCCCACCTGGCAAAGGAACACCACGCTGGGAGAATGTCATTGTTGCATTTCCCAAGAATGTTTTCTTCTGAGCCAAAAGAGCTGGGTGTACCCCTCGCATCCGACCTTGGGGGAAAGGTGTTAGCTCAGATGATCTATAACAGATGGACGAAACGTCCAGGGAGGCTGTAGGACCTGGACAGGGTCTTTCCAACTCCCCGTTCTCCAAAGAATGAGGAGGGAGCGCTACCCTTCCCCACCGTAGCGCAAAGGCTCTTTTTCTAACCAGACTCAGAAGTCCCAGAAAGTCTCTCCTGTCCCCAGTGCATCTAATTCCTGAAAAATTTATTGCAGCTCTCTAAGCAGGACACAGAGCTTATTTTTGATAACCAAGTAAAGAGGAAATGGTCTAATTTGTTTATGATCTCAGTGATTTTTTTAAGACCTGGATAGAGTCCTGGATGGCTTCTGGATATGTATTTTGTTAATTCTCCTCATCTGATGAAAACATGCTCTCAGTTCTCCCTCGCAGAAAGAGCAGAGTGTGCTAAACATGAGTTTTCTGTCCCCGAGTTCTTGCGGTTTTACCTCAACGGCGCTTGGACCAAGGGAAACACAACCCCTTTCAGTGGGGCGCAGCGCCTGGCTAACAGGGGTCGCCAGCTCAGAAGCAGCAGCAGTGTCGTGCATGTGCATGAAGTGCAATATCCGTGTCGCCATCAGGAGCTGGGGCTTACTGCTGGGCCTCCTCTTCGGGCCCTGCACCTCGACGCTGCCAGCGCAGACGCCGAGAGCCCTGCAGCAGGCACGCGGGGCGGCGGAGCACAAAGGCAAACACAAGCACCGTCCCCAGAGAAAGCTGCCAGCAGGCAGGTCTCTCCAGAGCAAACTGCTGCAGCCTGGGAGCGCGCCTCTGTGCAACCAGCACTTCTTTCTAAGACGTGCCTTTGATTCTCCCTCCTAAACTAACAGCTCATGTCCTCGCGTGCCTCCGTTCCCACCCGTTTGAGAAGCTGCACAACCACCCATCCAACTATCCCCACATATCCAGCTGGTTTCTTCAACAAGCAGTCACATCCACTCCCCTCCGCAGTACCCTGACAGTCCCAGCAAGTGCCGGCCACGCTGCTGCTGGCGGAGTGCAGCAGACCTCTAATGGAGCCGCATCAAACGCCACACTCCCATTCCAGTCCTCCGGTCAAAGCACGAAAGGCAAGGGGGAAGGACAGAGCTTGTGTAGGTGCCACAAACCACCACTGATAAAGTGTGCCCCATCCAAGTGAGACACAAGGCCTCTTCCAGTCACCTGTTGGGTACACTCTGGCTGGATGGGCTGTAAGCACAGGCATGGGACTCAATTCAGGAGATCAGTTCTCTGCTCTGCTGCTGACGTTTTGTGTGACCACCTCAAGTCCCTCTCCCTCCTGGGCTCAGTTTCTCTGTGCGTAAGCAGGAGCCCAGGACTCTAAAGATGATCTACAAGAGAAGCAGCACCAGAACAGCCAGGCCTGCCCACCTGCATGGTTAGTGTCGTCCTGACTGCAACAACGAGGGCACAGTGTGTGCACCCCAACAAATGCCTTCGAGTGACAGCTCCAGAGCTGGTTTTCCACTTGTGAAAACAACCCAAATGCATTGCAATCTGAAGTGATGAGGGTGCCATCGAGGCTTGGAAACCAAATATCAAGGGCAAGGTAGTGCATGGTAGTCCTCTTCACCCAAGAACTTTGTAGAAGTAAAGAACTACCAAGAAACACACTCAAAACACATCATCCATTGCAAGACCAGAAATTTAACATCTGGTTGAGAGCACCCTGCATTAGCTGTGCTGCAGGGACAGCAGGTGGAACCCCCCAAAAATGGGTCTAAAAGTATTTCAGTGTTTTGCAACAGGCCAGGTGGAGAACGGCACCTCTTCCTTCCCATAGGTTGACAGTACAAATTGCCTTATTTCAGGGAAATATCTATACTGCACTGCATATGCTCCCTCTCTCCAGCACAGGTTAGTTACAACTGAGGTCAGAGAGTACCAGAGTTACTATACTGTGAAGGAAATAGACCGTTTTCTGAACGATGGAGGGACCCACCAGGACTTCAGCGAGATTTAGAACAAATGACAGCAAAGGTGACTTGATGAAACCACGATTTCCATGCTCAGTGAGAAGGAGGTGAGGTGAGCTCCCCCAGTGACATGGTAGCTGGTGCCCCAGATACTCGGTGATTGAAAGACAGGACTGGAAAGGTCTCCACAAGTGATAGCTCTTGAGGAAGCCAATGAAATCTGAATGATCCTTCAAGACATCCCGAACAACCAGCCAGAACCTTCCCACAGGTAGACTGCAAGACCTCAAGGCAGGCAGATGTGGCCCTCTAACAGCTTCATCCCTGGAGATCGCTCACCAGTCACCAATACTCTTCCTCATACAAGCTGGTTTCAGCACCTCTCAGCCTGTCAACAGGAGATGAGAATGAGACCTTCCTCCTCCATTTCGTGACAAGTTTATGCTCACAGTGACAGAAATGAGTGCCTCAATAGGACACAGACGCCCATCGGCGGTCCTGGGAAAGAGGCAAGGGCACCCGCTGTAACCTGAGCACCGCACACAGCTTCTGCAGTCACAACAGTTCACGGGTCAACTTAATGGCATCCAACTCCACAGCTCACGCCCTTCTCAGAACCTGGGGGCTTTTATTCCTCACTACAGATTTCTGTGTCTTCGTATTACATCCATTACAGGGAGTGGGGGAAAGGTTATGGTCACCTGCTGCTTTCCAGAGGATGCTCTCCACTTCCAGTCCAGTAACCTTAGTACTGGGAGCTCATACTAATGTCAGTTATTTATGAGGAGCATTGGTGCTGAGCAAGTGTGAGTACAAAGACTTGCTGTAAGTGTGGATGGACCTGCTGGAACAACTGCATCTTTTAAAGAAAATTCATAGAATCAGGGAATGGTTTGGGTTGGAAGGGACCTTAAAGATCATCTAGTTCCAATCCCCCTGCCATGGGCAGGGACACTTTCCCCTAGATCAGGCTGCTCAAACAAATGTGCCTGACAAAGCCTATTTACTGCTTCTCACATTCTAGAACTCGAACTTTAAATAAACTTCCCAATAATTTTCTACTCTCCTGCTGTTGAAAATGAAGACACAGGAGATGCTACAGGAAGATGTTCTTGGACAAGGTCTCCTGTACCTTCTCCTTTAGCCTAACAGAGACTATCTCCTGCTCTGCTGCTTTTTTTCCCCATACGTCTTCTGATGTGCTACGGCAGTATAAGGGATTTCCACATCGGCTCAAAACAGAGAAGTTCATGAGCCCACAGCAGAGTTTAGCTACAAAATATATACACGAAACGGAAGACAAGGCCTTGCAAAGGCTTTTTTACTAATTACCACTTCACTTGGAGCTCTGAATCCATTAAGTGGATTGAAGTTGGTTTTGCTGATGGGGGCGGGGGGGCTGGAATTCAGCTCTTCACAGTCCTCCTGTGCTCTGGACCTCAGTGCCACCCGGGTTTGGAGACAGCAGAAGTGGAGGGAGTTTGGGCGTGCACAAAGTCCTTGAACTGGCTGTTTCTTGTTGCGCCTCGGTGACGTGGGCAAAGCGGGTTAAAGACTCGGTTGTTTCCCCATCTTTGGCAAACGAGATATTGGAAAGAGCTGAGTAACTCAAGAGAAGAAATTCAGATTTTTCCCAGTCGCAGAGCCCTGACCAAACCATCCAGGAAACCCAACTGGCTGGGCAAGAAGCCAGATGAAGGTACGCAACCCACCAGCACCCCAAAAGCGCTCTGACTGCTACACCCAGACAGGAACCTCAGCTGCCAGTGAGATCCTTCATGTCCTGCTGAACTCCTGAGCCCTTACCCAAGGGTTTTGGTACTAGGTAGCTCTGAGTCACCGCCGTGATGAAATTAAATCCAAAAAGGAAGGAAAGACTCATTCCGGACCTGGGGTCTGCACAGCTGGCATCAGCTGCAGCCCTCTCCACAGCAGATCCCTCTCCTGCTCACCCCGGAGGGCTTTGCTGCAGAAAGTACGAGGTGCTGACACCGGAGGGCAGGGGCTGGGTGAACTCCGAGGCCAGCAATGGGCTGTCCAGCTCCAGGTAGCCACAGCGGGCTCAGGGCCAGCGCAGGGATGAAAAGAGGCCTTCAGAGCAGCACAAAGGGCAGCCTGTGATGTGCGAGCGCCCGGAGCGCGGAGCTGCGGTTCTGATGAATGTTAAATAAACTTGTTTACAGAAAGGCAGGGCTGCACGCGTGTGCGCAGGGACCAGAGGGCTGTCTGTGTGCCCGTCCCCTTCTTTGTCTGCACAAGGCAGGAAATTTCCTTTTCTAAGGGGGTGAAAAGCAGAAAAAAATTCCACTGAGCGGTGAAAGCCCCTGTACTGGGGGGAGGTACCTCTCCAACTCCTAATGCAGCAGAAAAATCACTCTGCTCCTGGGATGGCTTACCATACGGGCTGGTTTCCTCATGTCCCAGAGAAGAACAAACTCAAGAGGGCCTCAAACCGCTCCAAGGTGACAGAGAGAAGGCCAGGGGTCTGGTCTGCACCGCAGGATCAGAGCGTTGCACTCATCGGTACAAAGCTCTTGGAAAGCTACTGGCCTCACCGCGCAAGCGTGGCTCACACAGTAAAGCAATCGAGTGGATGTGGGGTATTTCACGGGAGCAGCGTGTCACAGGGAGGCAGTGACAGTTTGGTACAAACCACGGCTGCATCACCGAGCAAGTACATGGGAGAGCTGGCAAGGCAGGAGACGGAGCAAATACACACCGAATACTGGAAATTTAAGATAGCGTAAAAGAAATCCTAGCTCAGAGAGGAAAGTGATCAAATTTTCACTGGAAATTAATCAATTTCTGCAGAGTGAAATACTGTTAACAGTTAAGAAAAAAACTTACCTGTTTTTGGGGAAGACCGCTGCAGCTGGGAGCATGAGCAAGCTACAAACTGAAACTGTGCTTAAGCGATTAACATTCCACTACAGGAAAAAAAAAAATAAAGCTCAGGATTTGAGAAGGAAAACATCCACTTTTTAGTGCTTGTTTCTTAGTTATTTTAAAGGTTTCCCAGTGAGGTGTCCTACAGGGGGAGGATTTGTGGGGGAAATACCAGCTACGGTAGTTCTGTTCTTGCACCCGCAGATGTTCCAGCTAGGCACAGTGATAAGTTTCCCTACCTGTATGAATGTTCCTTTAAAAAGAAATAATTTCATCTGCTAGATAGCTGGCTGGGATCACCCTGCTAGGCAAGATGCTCAGAACGAACTGGGAGGGAACTGGAATCCAGCCTTGCTCCAGGTCTTGGAAAACAGGACAAGAATTTAGGAAAACAAGCGCTGTGCTCTCGCCTGTTACCTTGGCCTGAGCCATCGCTTCACCCTCACCTGCTCTTAGAGAGGCTTCAAGAGAGGCAGTTCCCCACCGGAGTTCCCACCCGTACGCTCAGAGCCCATCACGAGTCGCTCTGGAAGCCAGTTTTCCATTTGTGAAAGCCCAGTAAAAGCCAGCCCTCGAAGCCGACTGTGCCCTCGGTTCCCCTTAGCCAGCATGGCTGTGCTGAAGGTGGGAAAGGTGGAAGGTGGGAAATTTCAGCAGGTAAGGCTGAAATTACCAACATCTCCTTAAACCACAGTGCCTCACAGAACAGGTGTCTCTCACTGACCGTTCCCATCACCTCCCTGAACCCGGGATGCACGCTCCAGCCCTTCACCAAGCCAACCGACGCGTTCACAGCGGCTGTGAGGTGCTCTGCTGCAGCAGAAGGCACAGAAGGAACCAGAAATGGGCACACATGCTTTAGCCAGAGAAAAACATTCCATGATTGTAACTTCTTCCCACTGTTACAAGCTGACGGGGAACCTGTCCCATCAACTGCCAAGAGCCCCTCGTCCACTGGCGACCGGCCTGCCTACTGACCAACTGCCACCAACGCTCACGGCGCTGCTGCTGCTCTTCAGCTAAGGAAAAATCATGAAGGATTTTCTGTTTTCCTCAACAAACATGGTCTCAGGATGGGGAATATATTCCTACTCACCACCGATCCGCTGATTCCAAAGCTAGTTTCCATTACTCAATTATAACTCAGTAAATACTTATGGATATTTTTAGGAGAGGAAGAGAAGGTGTGCAAGGAGAGGAACGAGAAAGAGGCAAGCCAGTAAAAGACCTCCCGTGCTTCTGGGCTTTAAATGCAAACAAAGCTCCTTACCTGCCAGCACAGCAGGGACCAGGATGCCGCACAGCGTTAGCAGGACCAGGCGAAGGACTCTGTG